GATGTATGATAGAATTTCGAGAAGGCTTACCGCGCACAGATGATTATTCAAACGACCCGCTTGTCGCGAAATTGGTGATAATAGACGATCTCATGAGGGAATTGTCATCGTACGAAATAATTGTCGATCTGTTCACGAATGGGAGTCATCACAAAAACCTTAGTGTTATACTCATTTCGCAAAATCTATTTCATCAAGGACGAGGGCAACGAGATATTTCTCTCAATACGAATTACATCGTGGTGTTCAAAAACCCCCGCGATCGTGCTCAGATACGCCACTTGGCCAGACAAGTATGTCCGGAAGATTCAAAGTTTTTGGAAGAAGCTTACTATGACGCTACATCGTTTCCACATGGATATCTGTTGCTCAATCTGAAACAATCTACTCCGGATGAGTATCGGTTTCGTACATGTATCCTCCTTACCGATACTACATACTATGTTTACGTTCAACGAGGATCCACCAGAAGTTACATATAAAACCGTGCATATGCTTATTCTGCGACAGTCTTGTCGTCGCAATGACAATGGCTGGTGGAAGCAGAACGGATGCGAAAAAGAACGATAAACAGCAAGCTTGGCAAAACGATCCATCGGTGCGAAAATATCTCTCTTCTGAAGGCGTTGTGCTATTTGACGGAGAAACAACGCGCTGCCTTTCTGCGAGAAGCTGACCGTGATTTCATTAGATATATTTGCGAGTGCGCCTTCAACACGCTCAAAGGTAACGTACCGCTCGGCAGAAGGGAAAAAAATCGTCTATCACGTTACAAAGCAACGCTACGTCATATCGCTAATAACCGTGCTGATTGGAGAAGCAAACGGAAAGTGATAGTGCAGCGTGGAGGATTTCTACCTTATCTGATTGGTCCTATACTCGCAGCTATATTATCCAAAATTATCGATAATTAAGACTGTGCGCACTTGAACCATGGAAAGAGCCAAGAAGATGGTACTGATTTCTACGGATAATCTTGAGAGATTGTAGCAGCAGGCTCATACATCACCGACCTCGGTATCGTCGTCGTCGTTGGCGTCTTCCTCGACTGCGATTCCCTCTGTTTTGACAGATAATCCCACAACTGGGTTGAACATAGCATCGATAGAGAATGAAAATACGGTGCGTACTCCGGGTTCCGTCCTGTCGCGTCTCGACGCAGAGATGCATAGAATTCTCAACTTTCCAGTCCTCGGAGGAGCACGGGAAAAATGAAGGTTGTATAGAGAGGGGCTTCAGCGATATCTGTACTTTTTTCGAGAGCGGAAAAAATACCGATACGCGGAAAAAAAGAAGAGAAACCCGATGCTGATGGTGCGGTCGACGATGATGAAAACGTCGGGGAAGGGGAAAATACCCCTCGCGAAGATGACGAATACGCTGACGGAAACGCGGTAGAAGAAAACGCAGGTATAGATGCAAATGAAGATATTCCCAATATAGAGACCGGAGCACATAGAACGTTAAACGTTTCTCAACACGCACGAGCCGATACACGTAGTCGTCACTACCGCACCAACGAACAGAAAAGTGTCGGAAGAATATTGAATAAAGTGCCAAAGAGTTACCGAGCTAAAGCGCGCAAGCTGCTGGCACATTTGTGTGATGCGGCGGTACCCGGACGATTAAGCTGGGACAGACAAGGAGTCATGACAATAGATGATAGAATTCTGAGAGGATCGAATATCACCGACCTCTTAAACGATGCGGCTCGTGAACGAAAAACCAGCAGAGCAGTAGCGAGAGTACAATTTGCACGCCCTTTGCGTGAAGTGGGTACTCCTCCGGAATTTGTAGGAAATCGAGAATTACTGAAAGAAGTCATGGACGAAAGTGATCTTTCCGCGAGATTGAGAGAAACTCTTCCGAAAGGTAGCAGCACTCCGCTCCCATCACCTAACGAGCAGCTTTGGTCTAAACGTAAGATTGCCCAGACGTCGCTTGAGGAAAAAGATCACGAGGATGGACGGGCTCTGTTTGTAACAATGAGAATAGAAATAAAACGCGAATGAGCGGAGACACTTCTAAACCCACTTGGACACTTGGAACCCGTTAGAATTGAGTATAGCTTCTTCGCCGACTAACAGCTATGCACATCGACTTCCACCAGCGAAAGGACGAGCGTGCAAACGTACTATCGGAGACACGTCCCTCGCTGAAGAACGCGACAGAGCGTGTACACGTGATATTTATAACTTCCGATCAATATAGGCGTAAAACACGAGTGAACGATAACGCTTCTAAATCAGCGGGTAAAAGACGTTTGATCAATTGGAACACACTGGAATGACTGACCTCGCAAAATTCTACTACGATCCTGCACACTATGCGGGATACTCTACGATAAAAAATCTTTCGCGAGCAGCAAGACTTGGCTCCACGCGTGAAGAGATTATTCGTTGGCTTCAGGCGCAGGATGCATACACACTTCATTGACCGGCGCGGCATAAATTTCCACGTTTGCATTACAACGTCACGAATATCGACGATCTGTGGGAGGCTGATTTGGTTGAACTCGCTATTCTCCGAAATTACAATGAGGGCTATTGTTACTTGTTGACAATCATCGATGTGCTTAGCAAATTTGTCTGGGTAGAACCAATACGAAGTAAGACTTCGGACAGTGTGACGGAAGCTTTTCGTCGCGTGCTCTCAAGAAGCAAAGGGCGAGTACCGGTGTGGTTGCAGAGTGACAAGGGTAAAGAATTCATCGGGCAAACATTTCAAAAATTTCTGAAGGAAAAGAACATAAGTTTTCGCACAGTACGAAATCCTGATGTCAAAGCAGCGGTGATCGAACGCTTCAACAGAACGCTCAAAGAACGTTTGTGACATTATTTTACACACAAAAATACACATCGATACATAGATGTTTTGCAGGGCATCGTGCACGCTTACAATCACACACGACATTCAACCATTAAAATGGAACCGGCAAGCGTCACGTTGGAAAATGCGCGCATCGCTCGTGAACATATGCAACAGCGATACCATCATCTCGATAAACTCGATCGAAGAAATCATAGTCGAGGAGCTAAATACAAAGTGGGCACACTAGTGCGTGTCAGTAGAGCGAAAGGAGTCTTTGAGAAAGGATATGAGGCGAACTGGACGGAAGAAATATTTCGTATTTACCGTATTCTCGAATGGCGAAATCCCCGTGTGTACGAATTGAGTAATCTGTCAGGTGAAGTGATCGATGGGATATTTTACGAGCAGGAACTAGCCGGGGTAAACAAAAACTTACAAGAAGAAGAATTTATCGTGAATAAGGTGATACGACGCCGAGGACGAGGAGCTAATAAAGAATATTTTGTCAGCTGGCGGGGTTACCCTTCTAAATTCAATTCCTGGATAGCTGCTTCGAATATAAAGCTGCTTCCAAACCATGATAGGGGAAAACCAGTTTCTCATGATACTGAGCAATAGTAGCATGCGACACTATCCCGAAAATACAACTACTTCATTTATTACGGAATTGCCTCAAGAAGTGAAGCTGACTGGCTTATGGGAAGTTGCGCTTACCGAAATTCAATTCCCCTTTAGTTTTTTACACGTGCGCCCCGAAGAAGATACAGAACTCGTATTCATTTCATTGCCGCGTGAAAATATTAATACCAAAAACGCCAAATCAGTCATCATAAAAGGCGACGACCATCTACCCAAATTCGGGCTTACCCACATAACCTCCGGTGTTTACACCACGGTGAGCGAACTGTTACAGTCTTTAAACAACGCTAGCTCATTACTCAAAACGCACATTGCCTGGCGCCAGGATCCTCATCGGGATGGTAAAATAGAGGTGTACTGCACATGTGATATTAAAGAATGCAGTAGTCTTCATTTCGTAAAGTTTTCCGACAAAGTGGCTCGTATGCTCGGCTTCGATATGTATAGACCGAACGAGGAATTCATTCATCTCGACTTGCCGAAAATTATGCAAGGGCATATAGCGTACCATCCCAATACTGATCGTAATGCAAATCCCCAGAAAGTTGGAAAAGGAAGGTTTTACTCTTTTATCACGTTGAAACGTGAACTTATGTCCGACGAACTAGCTAGTACGGTGCGGCGTATACCCGATAAACTCTTTGTTTATTGCGACATTTGTGAGTCCTATATAACGGGAGACGTGTATTCTCTTCTTCTCCGTGTAGTCCCCGTCGAATACATCGGTGGCGAATATGTCTACGGTCGTAACATGGTGAAGCATTTTTCACTGCCGAATTATATTCCATTGCGATTAACATGTTTCCGCACGATCGAAATAGATATAAGAGATCAGGTTGGCGAAAGAATACCATTTGAATTTGGGACGTTGACAGTTACATTACAATTTAGGCGACGTGATTAGCACGGTATGACACATTATTTAGAGTATTACGAAGCAGAATCCGGGAGAAGTTGCAGCGGTGGAATTCCACGAGTTTTTGTAGGATCGCAGTATCAGTGCGGCCATGGTATCGATAGTTTTCTCGGTGGTCTGTTCAGGCATGTGTTACCTTATCTGGCCAGTGGTGCGCGTGTCGTTGGAAATGAAGCTCTACGCGCAGGGATTAATATACTCGATGATGTGGAGAATAACACGCCGTTGAAAGCAGCTGTTAAAATACGCCTCAAGGAATCGAGCTCAAATCTCAAAAGAAGAGCGGAAGAACACATTAACAAACTGATGGAGGGGTCTAACCTAAGGGTCTGGATATAAAACTCCTGCGAACATCGGAAAAGCACAGTTTCCTTTCGTCACGCTAAGCGGATACAACGGCAAATCATCTGCACCCAAACGTCTAGTTAACGCTTCTAAATCAAATAAGAGGAAAGCGACTCGAAGAAACATACAGGGGAAAAAACGGGGTAAGAAGCTAACGAAGAAGCCGGTGAAGAAGCGTTCAGTGAAGAAAAGCGGGAGAGGCCTTGCTAAACGTCAAAGAGTTATCAAGAAGCGTACCGTGTCAGACATTTTTTCCTAAACATCAACAACAGACGCGTGCTTTTGAAGCATGTCCTTTCTTCATACGCATTCCAGTGAATGTTTAAAGAGTGAACTCGATCTATTCACCTTGCCGCCTACACAAACCAGCATTGAGAGTTCACAATGGATTCACTACAAACCCGTGTCTTCTCTCACGGACGACGCGCCCATCGAATTCGTCGTACCTGGGCATGGAGAAGAATACATAGATCTTGTTCACACCATGCTGTTGCTACGCATACGAGTAGAAACGAAAACCGGAGCAGGAGCCGCAGGCGCAAAAGTAGGCTCAGTAAACCATATACTGCATTCGATGTTCAATCAAATCGACGTATATTTCAACCAAAAGCTCGTGTCTCCTCCAAACAATGCTTACGCTTACCGCGCTTACATAGAGGCGTTATTAAATTATGCTTCACCAGTAAAAACCTCCCACCTGGCTTCGTGCCTGTGGTACAACGATACGGCGGGGAACATGGACGCTCTACCGGGAGCGACACCATGCAATCACGGACTCGACAAGCGAGCCGCTTTTGTACAAGGAGGACGAACACTGGATCTCATAGGTCATCTTCACTGCGACGTCTTCAATCAAGATAAATTCTTGATCAATGGTGTCGAAGTACGTATGAGGCTTGTTCGTTCGAAAGATTCCTTCTGTCTTATGGAAGGAAATACTATGTCACGGATAAGCGTTTTAGATGCTACACTACTCATCAGAAGAGCTAGAATAAATCCAGGCATATTACTCGCTCATACACAAATGTTGACCAGGACTACTGCTAAATACCCGCTCACGAGAGTCGAAATTAAATCATTCACGATTCATAGCGGCGTCGCGTCGTAGGAGAAACACTGGACAACGTCATTCTTGGACAAATACCGAAGCGTATAATTGTCGGTTTTGTCGATAACAAAGCATTTAACGGCGCCCGCCATTTAAATCCGTTCAATTTCCAGCATTATGGAATAAATTTCTTTTCACTGTATGTCGATGGAACTCAAATCCCTAGCAGGCCGTTACAGCCGAAATTCTCTGGTAACGAGATGCTCTACACCGAGGCGTATCACACCCTTTTCTGGGGAACGGGTATTCACTTTTTGAATGAAACTAATTCTATATCCAGAGAAGATTATCCTACTGGTTATACTCTTTTCGCCTTCGATCTCACTCCTGATTTATCGGCTAATTGCGCAGCTCAATGGAACCTTGTGAAACATGGTAGTTTGCGAATGGAAGTACGATTCGAAAAAGCTCTCACAACAACGATCAACTGCTTAGTTTACGCTGAATTTGAAAGCGTGCTGGAAATAGATTCTTCTCGTCAAGTCATTGTAGATTATAGCGGTTAAAACGAGTCCCCCACTTTTCTTTTCGACGTCATTCCCCTTCCAATGTAAAGATTTTCAACATCAAAGTCCTCCTGAGTAAAAGTTTTGAGAAAAGAGTCTAGTCGCTTTCGAGGCGTGAAAAGTATAGTTTCGGGGGAAGCAGAATTGCGTATACAGAGGGAGCATGGATGTCATTATCGAAGTACAATGTTTCCGCGATAGCAACGATGTCTACGTGCTCAAGGAGGTGGCTATTATCGGTATTAATGAGCCATTCATCGGTCATTGGATCTTAGCTCTAGAGTATTCATTTGCGGGATTGAATGAAAAATCAAGGCGTATAAATAACTGGCTTTCGCGGAATATCATGGTATCGAGTGGTACAACGGGGAAAGTAATCCGAAATATTTTTATCCGCGGTTGCGTGAAATTACGAGTCATATTCGTGACTTCATGACAAAGGGTAAGAAAAAAGCGAGCTACTTGCAAAATTTACTAACCCGAAACGTGTATAATCTGGAGAATATCTCGCCGATGTCCAGTGATCTTTCATCCAGCGAGCGTATAGAAGCTTGCTCATTCCACGCATTTAGAAAACACGGTCGTTATCATTGTGCATTACGCAACGCATACAAATTGAAACACTGGTACATCGAACAAAGCCAAATCAACATCAGGAAATGTGACAACGTCTATGCGACTCAGTGCTTGTCCTCGAAAATTGACGAGGAAAAGAGCGAAAATAGCTATTCCTACAAATCGGGAAGTGAAGAGTCATCGACTGAAGAAGAGGAAAACGAAACAAATACCGAGTTGGAACATTCAGTCGAACCGTCGAGGACTATAATAATCACGTTACCAGAGGTAAAACGAAATTATATAAAATGAATTCGCTCGAAATTCAACATGCTCTGCAACGTCTCAACGCCAGATACACAGGCGTCTATCCAGCCGACAGACTACCGAGGGTGTGGACGAGATCGACGGCAATGGTCGCTAATACGGACAATCACAACCGTCCAGGACTGTACTGGGTCGCATTCTACATCGATCAGAATGGAGCAGCCACGTACTTTGACAGCTACGGAATGGGACTCACGATTTTTCCTGCGTCTTAGAAGAAATTGTGCCACTTACCGATGGAATATCTCTCAGTTACAGGGTCTCTTATCGACGACTTGTGGCCATTATTGTTGTGTTTTTCTTTACTTTATGCGCAGGGGTTATAACCTCAATGCCTTTAAAAATTTGTTTACCAATGATTGCGAACGAAACGATCAACTAATTGTACGAATGTATAAGAAAATCTTTTGTCAATGTAACCGTAAATCACTAGATCATCATCATATCCCTATATACCAGGTTCAATCCTGTATTAGAAAAATGTATAAGAATAAAATGTGAATTTATTCTATAAAAATTTTGTATATTTCTTTCTTTCCGCCTCTTCTCTTTTCCCTGTGATCTCCAATTTGCGGTAACAAGACCTGTTGTAAACTTTTCGAGTTCGAAAACGAATGGACACACACACACACACACACAGGTAAAAATATTGAGATAGACAGAGCGGAGGTATCGTCTTCTAACAATCGCTGAGTAGTTTTTATCTTCGAAATTATCCTTAGCTGCTCGAACATGTGCACGCACGCTCGCACGCCTCAAGAGCTGGGGCTTCAGAGCCACGAATCCGTAGGGCTTAGAATTTTCGAAATTTTTCACGCGTGACGTCAATACTCTACGTATATATACAATATATCTAGTTTTCATCAGAATATAGCAATAACGTAGCGTATAAGACGCTTGACTCAAAAGCCAATGGACTCTTCGAATCCGAGGAGGACCTCTACAGGATTTTTCCAGAGAACACACATGTGGGGATGACCACGCACACACACACACATACACATATACACACACACACGCACGCACATCTCAGCCCGTTATACGACTACGTCGTAAAGACTGTTTCTACCAGAGAGCAGCAGTAGCACGGTGGAAAAACGGTTTGACTTCGAGAGCTAGAGGTCTCCGGTTCGAATCCAGCAGAGGCCCTTACACGGTTTTGAAATTTTGTGACGTCGATACTTTCCATATATAGACGATATAGCTAGTTTCCATCAGGGTATAGCGGTAGCGTAGTGGTAAGACGCGTGACTCAAGAGCCAGAGGTCCCCCAGGTTCGAATCCAGCAAGGCCTATACAGAATTTTTCCAAAACCTGTGACGTCGATACTTTCCGTATGTAGGCTAATATAACTAGTTTCCATCAGGGTATAGTAGTAGTAGCGTAGTGCTAAGACGGCGTGACTCAAGAGCCCAGAGGTCCCAGGTTCGAATCTAGCAGAGGACCTTTTACAGAGCTTTTCCAAAACCTCTGACGTCGATACTTTCCGTATGTAAGCTATATAACAAGTTTCCATTAGGGTATAGCAGTAGCGTAGTAGTAAGACGCGTGACTCAAGAGCCAGAGAGGTTCCAGGTTCTCGAATCCAGCAGAACTCCACAGAGTTTTTCCGCAAATGCAACATGCAAATTAAGTAGTTGATCAAGAGCCAGAATTGCCAACTCCTCTAATAATGTCGGCCATAATTTGCTTATTTCAAAAGTCGCTTAGTTTTTGCCTGTGGGGAGGTATGGCCCGTCAAAACATTCCCTCTCCACTCGACCCGCCGGCGCTGCTAAACCACGCCTATCGGCGCCGGCGGGTCGAGTGGAGGGGGAATGTTTTGACGGGCCATACCTTCCCACATACTACTTAAATGCTTTAGTGTCCTAGATAAAAAATGCAGCATAATTTCCCAGGCTAGTATATATTGTGTATCTAAAATACATGCGGTGCGGCGTTACTTTCTTGCCGTCGTCAAATTGCCGTTGGTCCGCGCGTCACGGTCTCTCACCAAAAGAAAACCGATGTTGGGCGCCAGGTGCAGCGAGCTGCACCATTCATCAACGCGAATGCTCTAAATCAGAGCTGGCCACAATCTGCACATTTCGGGCGAAATTCGTTGCCCTTCGCCGCGCGCGCTTGCCCACCGCCACTCGCTGACTCCGCCTTATCAAATGTTTATGTGCTTACTGCGGCCGCCCTCCGCTCTCTACGCGCTCGTTGGTTCATATGTTTTAATTAATAACTCGATAACTATTGGCAATTTGACATTATGGTACATGACTTTTCTTCTCGGCTACACCCAATCTATCTCCAACTTTCGTCTGCACGATCAGCTATCAAACACCCTGTATATATACAGGGTGTCCGGAATGTGATCATTAATATTTTGTGTACTGGTAGACTGGGTGTAGCCGAGAAGAAAAGTCATGTAACATAATGTCAAATTGGCAATAGTTATCGAGTTATTAATTGGAACATGTGAGCCAATGAGCGCGTAGAGAGCGCTGGGCGGCTGCCTCTTGTCGCTTGCGATCGCTCGCTCTACGTCGCGCGCGCACGCCTCTTGTCGCTTACGGTTGCCTCTCGCCGCGCGAGGTAAGCCATTTTCTTATTCACAGAGCCTGTCCTGTCGCTTTCTCGTACGCTCATTCGTTCACACATTTTAATCAATTACGGAATAAATATTAAAAAAATTGTAAAACGGGACTTTTTTAATTGTTTTAACGAGTTCTACCAGTACACAAAATACACAGCCACACAAAAAAAAAAATGTCTTGATCTGGGGACGAGACATGTGTATTCCTATGTATTTTGACGCGCTGAAACCAAATCCGCTATCAGAAATGGCCCAACGGATCTTGGTTCAACCCTAACCTCAAAAAACACCTAAAAATCACAGAAATATGCGATAAAATTGTGATATACTGCCTGACAGGCAAATTTTCACCTAAAAACCAATGTCTGCAGAGCCTTAACCTTACAATTAACCTGACCTAACCTAACCTAACTTAACCTAGCCTAATCTAATCTAACCTCACCTCACGTAACCCAACCGAACCGATTATACTCTACTGCCGGGCAAGCCAATTTTGACACGAAACCATTGTCTGCGAAGCCTTAACCTACAAAAAATCTAACCTAACCTAACCTTTCTCGGTTGAAGTTGACATGACCGTCCATATGGTCAGCACATTCCTGTACGTTTTCGGGGTATTCGAGTTCAATTTTACGGTTTTGTGAAACTTACTTGTATCCCCAACTTCATGACCATTGAATCTTACTTTAAAAAATACCTCTGATTTCTCAAAATTGCTCATTTTGCAATTAAAAGGACATGTGCTCAAAATATGTATATATATGAGCATGACATATCAAATGTTTCTCGCGTCGCAGTTTATGAACTCGGGGTCACAATTTATATTCTTTTTCATGTTCAAATGAAATCTAACTTGTCATTCATATCAAATTAATTAACAAATTGTCTTCAATCTATTTTATTTCTACTATACCGTGTTCTTTTTTCTTCGAAGGATTTATGCAAAAAGTTTCGCTTACGTTTTTTCCCTTTTACATTCGTTTCTCTTTTCAGCATCCAGCAAAAATTTTTGCTGGATGCTGAAACAGGACAATGGTTAATTGTAAGGTTAAGGCTCCGCAGACATTGGTTTTTAGGTGAAAAATTTGCCTGTCAGGCAGTATATCACAATTTTCTCGCATATTTCTGTGATTTTTAGGTGTTTTTGGAGGTTAGGATTGAACCAAGACCCGTTGGGCCAATTTTGATAGCGGATTTGAATTCAGCGCGTCAAAATACATAGGAATACACATGCCTCGTCCCCAGATCAAGACACTTTTTTTTTGTGTGGCTTTATTGATATTAATGATCACATTCCGGACACCCTGTATATATCAGGTGTAGTAAAAAGAAATCCATTATTTTTGCATGTAATTGAAGGCTTTAATTACCATAGTTAGAATGGTCCGATTTAGGTCAAATATGCGCCATTTTATTCGATAACTTGTTGCCATTTTGAAGGTAATTTCATTATGCCTCTCTCATAGAAGCCCTCGTCCCTATTGGCAAAAAATTGAGACAGTCGATTTTCACAAGCCTCTCTTGAAGCGAATTTTTC